GTGTGTGTACATATGTTTCCAACTAATATTTGCATGCAGTTTTAAATGTACTTGCATTATGAGATTGCATTTCGGTTGGGATTGCATTATGAGTTATTGTTATGTTGTAGGTTGAAATGCTAGTGCAAGTACATGTTGATAGATAATTGCTTTGGTTATGTGGTGAAATGGTCAATTTGTACAATATGTAATGCCTTAGGCATTTGACCCATTTTGAGTAGTTGGGGTTTTTGAATGACCAAAACTTGTGAATTGTGTCATTGTATGTATGACTACTTAATTAAATGTTTGATGGTCCACTGGACCTGGTCAAACCTTGTTTGAGGCTAATGGAAAATGATTAGGTTATGGGACATTTGATTGCATTTTACTTTTAAAAAAATGACCATTTTGCAAACGAGTGTTTGGTTTTAAAATCAAATGTTATTTGGAATGAAACTAATACCATTAGCTAGATAACTTAATAACTTTTTATAGGTGATTTAAGCACTTTAGTTGGATGTCAAAGAGAGTAACAGTGTACTTCGAAAGTTTGCCTTTGGATGCTACCATGACAGTAATGGTGGCATATGTCTTTTATTTAATTTGTTGTGATGAATGACACGTTGATCGCGACAAATGTGCTAAGAAAAATAAATTATTTTTTCCCTTGATTGAATTTTTAATTTAGTTGTAATGCTTCCCTATGTTTCAATCCTCTAATTTTGAAATGTTAAGCTCAACAACTTTAGAAAAAAGGTTTAAAAGTATTTATTTAATTTTTATTTATGGTTGTTCTAATAATATCAAGACGAACATTATAAAAATTCTCTTACGATTGAGCTTTGGGCATGTCATCTTAGTCTTCATAAAGCTTGAGATAGTGGGCATAGGAAAGTGAGTTTAAGAAGTGATTCAATGGAGGCTCTAAATCTAATTAAGGAGGCAAATAATGAATTCATGTTACTGGGCTTTGATCCCAAAATGCCATAATCTTACTTCAACATAAGTGAACTGTTGATCTCATATATGTTAGAAGAGAAGGTAGTATTAAAGCTGATCGGATTGCAAAACATGCTGTTATGTTGCTTGTTGATCTCCAATTTCTACCTTTAGAGAAAGAAGGCTCTTTTCTTTCTGTTCTGTTGGTTTTTTTTTTTTTTAGCTTTCTTTATTTATCAACACACACACACACATAACAGTGTGCACAAAACAAAAATCCTTTCTTTTTTTTTCTTTTTTTTTTTTGGTAAAATGAAATCCTGTTATGCACAAGATCACAATTCGTTTGTCAACAAATAATTAAGCAATACATGATAATTTATAGCCCACTCCCCCATTCCTATCTCAAGTATGTTTGGGTCTCAAAAATACATTCAGGAGCAATCCATAAACACAACATGGGTTGGGCTTACATGTTATTTGGCCAATAAAAAAAGACGTTGAGGTCAACCCATTTGCATTGGTAAAATAATCCAACCTGCATTTTATGGTACTTTTCATTTTCCCCCTAAAAATCAAACACTTAAGGCTATACGTTTCTAAATTTGTATAAGAAAATAGATATAAATGAATGTCATCTTATTCTTATACGAAAGAGTGTACTCAAGACTCGAGAGATTGTTTCACAAAAATATTAATTTCAAGTGTATTTGAGAACATTTGTGATTGATTTACCCATAATATATAAAAGTTAAATTAAATTCTTGTTGGCCAAAAATTTCATCAACTAGAGATGTGAATCCTATACTATCCAATATCAATTAAATACTTTGTTAGCAAAAAAATAACTTTTTTTTTGAAAGAATCACTTGATATTTCCATAATCCCTATCATGTACTCTCTGCAATTCAAAATATAAGACATTTTTACTATAATTTGAATACTAATAAAGTTTAGTTATATCCTTGTTTTCAGTTAAAAATATCATAAGTTTTTTTTACCCTTTTCCCCATTTGTTAATAATAAATTAAATAAGAGAAATAATATTTTTAATGAAATACTGTAGCATGAGAAAGTGTGATCCTCCTTGCATACCAATAAAGTTTTAGCTATCATGAAGAGTGAAAAATGTAATAAATACTACACAACAAACCAAGTTAATAAATACAATGGTAAAATTTTTGAACCAACATGAGTTTAAAAAAATGTTTTATAATTTAGAATGAAAGGAGTAATTTTGTATTTTGCCCTTCTTGATTCATTCCCCATCAAAAGTCTCATTAAACATCACTACCTCATCCCTCTTAATATGAAAATCCAATCAATTCACATGGTTGAACCACTAAACTAATGTCTTAACTAGTTTTATAAAATATTTTATTTATGATCAGTTTAATTATGATTCAATTACGATTTTGTCAATTAACTCTTAAATCAATGCCTTGATCAATTAAATGAAAAGGTTTAGTTTTCAAAACCTTGCATCAAATTATACTTTTGTAATGTCATTATCATTCCCATAATATTTTTTTTTTGTAATTCCTATAATATTATATTGATCAAAATAAAATAATGCTTACAAGACTGAAAATCCGGCGTAAAGAGGAAAGAAACCATACAAGCCCAACAAGTTCTACAATAGACCAACTCTGAGATGTAGACTAAAGCCTAAATATTTGCACAAGTGCAGCACCAGTGGCTGTTTTCTTTTTTTATATTTTTTGGACCCAATATAAAAGCAACTATGTTCCAAGTCTCACTGGGCCAGTGGCAACAAGGTAATTGTTTACTAATAAATGGAAATATTTTTTCTTTTATTTTCTTATCTGCTGCACACTCTTTTTTTCCTCTAAACAGCGTTAGACCCTCTAGAAATGTTGGATTTGATTCTATAATTCAGGTTGAAAAATAAAAGGAACTGCACAAAATAGCCAATAGATTGACTTATTGAGGGCTGATTTAATTTTGAATTTCGGGTTGAAAAAAAAAACAGAGAGAGAGAAAAATTAACCATCTCACTTCCTTACACTAGTTTTATCTAATTGATTCTCAATTTTTTTTTTCATTTCAACTGATTTTTTAATACTATCTTAATTAACCATCTCACTTTTATACGTTGGTTATGAATTAATTAACATTTTTATCTTTTTTTTTTTTTTTTGTTGCTCGATCCGCCATGAATCCGTGACATAAATCTTCCGTGTTTCAAAAGTTTAAGCACGTTATCTCTCTGTCGAAAATATCTCTTGACAGGAAACTTCGCCAGGGTTATACTCGTAACCCTGGAAAACAGAACATACTTTCATTTTTATCTTACTAATATATATTAATCTTTTTATTTAAAAAATTACTTTGTTTCACGTTTTTTTTTTACCAGCAACTTTAATTAAATCATTATGGCATAAATATATTCAAATAACTATTTTCACGAAGATAAATCTCTTCGAGGGTGAAGGAGAAAAAGAAAACTTCTAGCTACAAGAAGAATATTAAATAAATAAAGTTGCTGTCTAAAGTGAAGATTTGATAATTAGATAAATAACTAAAATTATTTAAACACTTTAACAGCTCATGTTTGTCTTTATTCTATATAAAATAGAGCATATAGACATTTAAATATAGAAAAAGTGTAACATAAAAAATTAGTTAAATGAATTTATAGTGTCTGTTTGGTTTAGCATTTGATCTAAAAGGGGTTGTTAAACTTAAAATATAGAATTTGGGTAATTTAATAAGAGTTAAGATCTATGTTTGCTCTTAAAATATTTTTCAAGGAACATCTAGCACCCTAACATTTTTGTTAGAGTAATTTTGCTTTTAAAATTATTAAAACAAAATATTTTTGCATTTTCTATCAAAATGACAATATTGAATTCAAACTTTAACTATTAAAAAATTTAATAAAAAAATACTTTATTTTAATAACTTTGGAGCAAAATTCTTCAACAAAAGCATTATTATATTAGGTGCTCTTCAAAAAATATTTTAAGAATAAAAATACATATTTACCCATTTGATTTAAGAGAAGAAGAAGGGAGGGGATGGAAAGGAAGGGAAGTGGATGGAAAAGAGGGGAGGAAGGGAAAGGGAAGCATTTCCCTAATTTGAAAGGAAGTGAGATTTTGGAGGGGAGGGTAAAAAGTTTTTCCACCCTCCACCTTACCAAACAAGGAGGGGAGGGGTTGCCCTCTCCTTATTTGGATGGGACAAGGCCCCTCTTCTTATCTGGATAGGATAAGGAGGGGGGGGGAGTCCCCTCCCCTTGTTTGGTAAGGTGGAGGGGGAGGAAATTTTCCTCCCCTCCCCCCAAACATACAGTTAAATTTTTTTTTTTTCCCTCCCCTCCTCATAAGCATATAGTTAATAAATGAAAACTTTTGTAAATATAACTCATATTATAAAATCAAATCAAACAAACAATTTAATATTTATTATATTTTTATATTATGATTAATTTATTATATTTGTATTATTATAAATTAATAATAAAGCTTTGAAAATTTTCAACTATTACACTTTCAAATTTTCCAAAATTTAATTCATATTTTTTAAGTATAATTTTTTTTTTTTTGCAAATGCCCCCTCCCCCTCCCTCACCTCACCTCCCCTCCATTCCCTCCTTTTAAACTAAATAAAGTTTTAATGGATGTGTGAGTATTAAGCAATGACTATTTCTCTCATGGATGCATCTCCCTCCCATCTTCCTTGCATTTTCTCAACAAGGGCTTCTTGCATTTTTTTTTTATTTCTTATTACAAGATTTTACTTAAAAAATAATTAAATTTTTCATTCTAAAGTAAAGTTATTAACTTGTATTTAATTATTGTTAAATTAATAAAATTAAAATTAATCATGAAAAACAAACTTAAAATTGTGCATGGGTTTTCTCCACATTGTATCGATATTCAATAAGCCGGTGAGTTTTTCTCACCTCATGAGTCATGGAACTCGTATTTTGTTTTATCTAGAAAAATAAAAAATACTAATTAATCAATTACTTATTAATTAATACTTTAAAGATTTTTGTTTTTGGACAAAATTAATGCTTTAGAGATGGATTGATGATTTTCCAGTGAGAGTAGCTGACAATTTTGCCATTAATTAAATTAATTTTAAAAAAGGAGGATTCTTCCCAGTCAAAGCTCGTCGTCATTCATTCGTCCTAAACCCTACATATAACTTAGTGTAATTCCTTCGTAAACAAAGGCACAAAAAAAAAATAGAGAGAATAAATTTACAAGTCTCGTCCTATACGAAATAAAATTCGTACGACGGAAAAGTGCTTTCTCTTTCCTCTCCGTTCTACTGAGCTGGTAAGGTCTCGTGGCGCCACGACTCCGCCAACTCGGCCGAGTCGTAATACACGTCGGAGTGATCGAACAGGCCGTCAAACGCCAAGTACTCAGCACTATTACCGTTATATTCAGCTCCAGTTCCCAAATCGAACGAGTCGTAACTCGGGATCTGGTTCTCAAACTCCCATAACTCGGCGATTCCAGACGAGTCCGACAATGCCGGGATTAACTCAGTCGGCAACTCGCCCTTCCCATCCGGGTTCACCGACTCACCGGGCGGGGGGAGACCGAGCTCGTCGTCGGAGGCTTCGAGAAGGTATCCAATCTGTGGCTGAGAGTCGCCGGAATCTGACGTCAGATCGACTGCCGGAGCAGGCGATGAAGAGGCAGATATCTCCTCCTGCAAGCTCTTCATGACCGAGTCGAGGTCCTGACTCGAAAGAGCCGGGTCGGTGTCATCGAGCAAGTCGAGGAGATCATCTCTGAGTCTCTTGACCTCGGGCGATTCCAACCCGGACTCGTCCGAGTCATCTCGAACCCGCTTCCCGGAACTCGGGCCTTCCATGGAGAAGAACAGTAACAAAAATCTCCGAGAACAAAAACTTCTTGTCTTGATTTTTCTTTTTCGTTTTTTCCCTTTTGCCGAAACAAAGGCTTTTGCTTCACAGAGAGTGTGGTGGCGATTCGTGGGGGAAGAGATTGGAGTGTTTATATAAAGGAGGGGACAAGGTAGAGAGAGAAAGAGACAGAAAGAGAGAAGGTGTAATGATGGTGACGAGGCAGGCGCGTGGGAGCGAATACTTAGGCCATCACGGATTTGATTTGCCTTTTTCACGTTTCTTGATACCTTTTTCTCTTTTTTCCATATTCCTGAAAATTAAAAAAATAGCAATAAAGGAAAATTGGGTGCCCGCTTCTTTCCGTTTTTATTTTTATTAAACGGAATTGAATTCGGAATTGGAGTCCGGGTCAGATGGTGGGCCCCACTCTTCTAGTCAATCACGGCCTTTGTTTCTTTACTTTTCTTTTCCTTTTTTTTTTTAGGGTACGAGTTGGTAGGAAAATTAAATATGGGACCAGGGCGAGGGCATTTTGGGTAATTTGGCAGATGGCTTGAATGATGGAGTGGCGGAATGGGCTTTGTGGAATAGTGGTTGATTAAATCATTAAAATCTTATTTATCGAATTATATATTTTATTTTAATTTATTAATTTAATACGAAAGCGATGGCCACCAACGATGACTGGCTCATTTCCATGGGACCAAGGCACCATCTAGTACGTTCAATAATTGAAAATGGCATTTTTGTTGACTTTGAATTTTGTTATTGTTTCTCCCTGAATCTGAATATCTGATTATGGAATTCCATGAATGGAAGTTAATCAAGTTATAAACCATATCCAGATGCCCAATATTTTGTCAAAAAAAAATTAATATTTTTTAATAAAATAAAGTTCATATGAGTTAAGTCTCATGACTCATAAGGATAAAAAACACCTTGAGTTTAAATAGCATTTACAAAGTCATTCATCAACGTTAGTAGTGAAATTTAATTTTACTATCTTATGTATTATAAATCAAATTATTACAAATTGGACCCATTTTTGTTGGTGAATTTATTGTTTTTTTTAGACTCTAGAATTTGTTTTTTGAGAAAAAGATGGTTATGATTTTGTATGCTTAAAAATTATTTACAATAAAAAGAATACCAGACCTGCATGAAAAATTCTTCTTCAAAGGAGTAAAATAATGGGTATTCCATGTTTGGGCATATATTTTCTTAAGAATTGTATGCATGATTTAATATAACATATTAGTCGTTGAATCTTTGATTCGAAATTTTCAAATCTTTGATTCGAAATTTTCAATGTCATCCAGATTTCTCGTGAATTTGGGATTAAGAAGATATTAGTGCGGACCCCAATCAACTTTGAGCGTGAAAAATACGTTGGACCTTTTCTTTTCTTTTTCCTCTTTTTTTTAAAAAAAAAAAACATTTGAATGGATAATACCATCTATCATTAAACCGATCCAACTGCGAACATCTGAATCAGAAAACAACATTAAGGCAAAACCGAAAAATATGTTAAGACTTTAAAAACGGGTACATTTTTCAAATCTTGAAGTATTTATAAACTTGCACTGTAACTGTAATTAACCAAAGATGGCAAAGAAACACTGCACTGTAATTTAGAAGCGCGTTTTTTAATTTCTATTTTAGTTTGAGAGAATTTGACACCACAAAAGAGAAAGGGAAAAATTTCTTTTACAGTCTGGTGTACTTATATAGAATTAGTTACTTTTTTTTTATGAGTGAATTAGTTACTTTTATTTATATTTTATTGTAATATGTGTGTAAAATTTCTTTATCACCGTGTTATTTTCATGCATCATGTATAAGCATTGTGACAGCTTTTTAAAATATAATTAAAAATGACATATACAATCTTTTGCCTTCAGTTCAATGAAATGGCAACAAATTAGGAGGAAAAAAACATAATAAGTTACTTTATTGAGTAAAAATAAGTGGCAATTTTAGCCTTTGAGTTAATTGTGGCTGTTTAAACATGGGGTTTGCAAAAGCTTGGACCCATAATATTTAAATCCAATCCAATTAAATTGTTACCCTTCTGTTAAAAAATATGAGATTCAACATTTAAAAATATAAAATATTTTTAGTATTTTAATGTGCAGTTAATATGATCTTTACATTTTTAATATGTTTACATTAAAAGACTACTTTACTCAATTTTCAATATTAGTTGAAAGACTATTAATTAGTTTATTGTTAGTAAAATTCCATTAAAATTGGCTTATATTTTTAACATGTTTATGTTAAAAAACAATAAAAAGAAAAACAAGCGTCAATGTTATTTGACCCTTCAAGAGGGTGCATTATTTTTTATTTTGTCGCTTGAAAATCGAAACTGACCCAAGCAGGAAATCTGAAGTTTTTATAAATCAGTTTTATAATTATTGGAACTAAAAATTCAATTTTATTATCTTTGCTGAATTAGGGCAGTAAGTTTGATTAAAATCAGAAATACAATTGATATTGTTCATGCAAAGTAAGAATCAATTATTATTTTGTAGTTCTCTTGTTAGAACTAACCCCGTTTAAGATATTAAAAATGTAAAGCTCACATTAACTGCACATTAAAACACTAAAAATGTTTTATATGTTTAATATAAAACTGCACATTTTAAGATATGATCCAACACATTGGATGTTATTGCTTGTTGGCAATGATGAGTTCTAAGAAAATGTGTCTTGTTGGATGATGTTATAGAAGCTACATCTTCTTTATCTAATTTTTTTTATTACTAATTTCACTGCTACTAGAATTTCTATTTTTAATTGTTCTTGTGATAATTGATGACTAAAACAGAGTTAGAATTGATTCATGTATATAGGTTTTTTTTAGCATTTTTTTTAGCTTCGGTTATTGTTGTCTGTGTTTTTAATTAATAAAATGAGCTTTTTTTTAACAAATAAAAAAAAGATACGATCCAACATTTTTCAATAGAAATTTGAATATTTATTATAATACCCTTCTACTATAATCAATTATTTCCCTACCACGATGTTGAAAGTACCAATTAAACCTAACCTATCACATTTGGTCGAGGAAAAAAAAAAGGGTTAATCTATTAAATAGTTGTCAAGCAATCAATAAAATCACCACGCACAGCCAAATACTTATAATCTATTTTTAAATCTTATATTATTAGATAATAATATCGATTGATTCTGCACTAACATATGCCCGAAAAGGTGGGGGGGAATAAATTGAAAGACATATCTTTAAGAAACGAAGTTTTTTCTTTTTCTGGCAAATAATAAAGTGTTAATTCCTGATTTTTTTTTCCAAAAAAATGTTAATTGCCCTCCTCTTGTAAACTTCAGATCACACCATATTTGAAAATTCTTCACGAAGATACTTTCTCATGGTCATAAAAAGATAATTCCTTGTTGTGTATGATTAGGTTTTTTTTCATTTATTTTCTTTTATCATATTTTATTTATTTCTTTTTTCTTGGCTTACTATATAATTATTTTTTTTTATGATCGCTGTGATAGAGAATTTTGGATGCTCGTGTATGCACTGTAACATAATGTATTGCTTCCTTTATTCCATTATACATGCCTCTGTTTTAGTGATCAATATTGATCAAGTGTCCCGTCTATTATTTTTTTTTTAGAAAATGAGGGAGAAAAAGCAATAAAGAGACATGAAATTTAAAACCATATTTTTCTTCATAAGATTATTAGCAGCACCTATTTGAAACGTCACTATTTGTACTTAATTACCGTAAAAAATATACGTGTGTTGTGTATATAGGGTTAAATGGCAAACGATCCAATAATAACCATATGATTAACAAATGTTAATTTTGATTGTTAAAAAAAATATAAAAAAATAACCTCAAAAGTCGTATAAAATGACTAAAAAAATTTTCTTAATCTTTTCAGTAATTTTTTGAATTATTGTCTATGATTTTGAATCTTTTTATGTAGTATTCTAACCCTTTTTATAATTTTTTTGATCTTTTTTTGAAGTTTTTAATCAATTAACTGTTAAAATTAACTTTTATTAATAGTAGAGATGATATTATAATATTTTTAAAATTTTAAAAAATATTACATAAAAAATGACTTTAATATTTCAAATGCTTCTAAATGTATTGTTTAAAGTGAAATTGTCATTTAATCTTATATATATTGCGTTGCGTGGAACATAAAATGAACTATATTATTCATGGTTTATAAATGATAATATTTAGTTTAAAATATATATTTAATCATTTAATTTTATATAATATTTTATTTTACTCTCTTAACTTTATAAAATATTTTTTAATCTTTTAGCTCTACCACTATTAGTTTTATCCTAAAAAATTTTAATAATAAATTTTTAAATATTTTTAAAACATTCTTAAATATTGACACATTAAACTTATTTTTTAAAAATAAAAATAATCATTGAAATAAATTATGATATGATTAAATAATTAAAAAATATTATTTAAAATTAAAAGAGTAAATTAAAATTTTATATATATAATTAAAGGATTATATATATATATATATATTTATACCAATAGAACTAAAAGCTTTGGCCTATTATTTATTATAAGCTTTCTGTTGGTATTGACGAATTGAACTGTTGATTCCTTTTCACCCACGGATTATTGAGATTTGTAGATTCCCACCAACACCGTTAATCGTTCCTTTTGTGGAATGGCAAACTTTTTCGTAAAATCCATTCTATCTTTTTTTTTTTTTTTCCCTGGAAGAATCTCTTCTAAGTTCTAGCCATACGAGCATATAATAACGCATCAGGGTATATTTTTATTCTGTTTGAAATTCTTATTTATATTACATTTTAAATGTTATTTTTTAAAATTTTATAATAAAATTTAAATTCCGTACAATCAAACATGGGGTTGAAACATAAAAATATATTTTCATCAATGTAAAAATAAATAAATATTTCGTGATAAAATCTTAAGAAAAATAAAATAATAAAAATATTTGATTTCATAATTTTGAACCATAAAATACGTATCAATATAAAATTTATAAATTTATTTACAATATAATAAATAAGTAATGCTAGTTAGGTCCTCAACAGAATTATATTTTTTTAGAAAATGAGTTATAAATA